AGGTCTCTGTTTTGTCCTAATTCATTGTTGGTGTGCATGCACAGAGGCTAGAAGTAGCATCAGGATTATTGTTAAATATTCAAAAGCAATGGTTTTCTGTGTTGACTCATTTCCTCATTCATGGTTGAACTCTAGAGCACTCTGAGTGAAGGTAGTTGTTAGGGTTAGGAGCAGGGGTATGGATGTTTTGTATATTCCTTTTAAGAGGGGAGGTAGCTTATTTTAACTTTATGGTGTTCTAATTGTACTAACAAAGATCAGCTAACTAGTTCTTTAGAATATACTCTGTGACTAGTCTAAATGTTTAGGTGTAGCAGTAGATAGCAAGCTTAATCCTTTAAGCCAAAATAGAAATATTAAACACCACAGCTAATGATATCCTGACTTTGTTGCCAGTGACTATTTTGTACAGCTTGTCTGAAAACTTCCACAAATCTTGTGTCAAATATTTTTGTTCTAAAAATGTACACTATATATAGATTTAAAATTCACAAAAACAAATATGGTTGTAGCAAAGGGTAAATAGAATCAAAATTCCCTGAGTTTATAGCACTAAAAGAGAAGAAGAAACATTGAGGTTTTTTAAAATTTTATTTATTATTTTTATTTTATTATTTATGTGTACGAGTATATTGCCTGCATGTATGTGAGTGTACCCGTGTTGTCCAATGCCGCGGAGGTCAGAAGAGGGCTTTGGATTCCTTTGGAACTGGAGTTAAGGACGGTTCATAGCCACCATGTGGGTGCTGGGAATCGAACCTGGGTCCTCTGCAAGAGAAGTCAGTACTCTTAACCGCTAAGCCATCTCTCCAGCCTGTAGCATTTCATTACAACAGCATTGACATATTCAATAACAATTTCCAGAGTTGATGCATCACTTATCAAAATTGGCTGTAAATTTTTAGGTTTACCATTGAATTATTACAGTTATACAATATTGTACTCAGTATAAGCCCTATAAGACATCAAATTAAATGAGGTTTTAACCTTTAAAAAAGATCTCCATTTCATTTTATAAAACATATATTTTTAATCTAAGAATCCTTAAGACAAATAGGATGGAAAAAAGATGTAAAAAATATGAACTTTAAACAAAAAGGCTCAAGTGAATCAGAAAAGGTAGATCTTAAAGAACATTATTATTAGAAACATAGAAGACAGAGCTGGGTATGGTGATATATGCTTGTAATCCCAGCATTTGGCCACTCAACCAAATGAGACTGAGAACTGTGTTTGAGGCTAGGTAGCATAGGCTCTACCCTAGCTTGTTTTCCTGTTGCTGTGATGAAACACTGACCAAAAGCAACTTGGGGGAAGAAAGAGTTTATTTTATCTTTTTATCTTACAGATTACTGTCCATTGTTAAGGGAAGTCAGGGCAGGGACTCAAGAAGGGCAGGAACTTGAAGCAGAAACCATGGAGGAATGCTGTTTACTGGTTGGCTCATGCTCAACTTTCTTATATAGCCCAGACCCACCTGAATAGGGATGGTGCTGGCCACAGTGGGCTGGTCCATCCCACATTAATCATCAGTCAAGACAATCTTTGACAGACAGGGTCACAGGCCAAGCTGATCGGCAATGTCCTTACAATCTTTCACAGACAGGGTCATAGGCAGAGCTGATCGGCAATGTCCTTAGTGGAGATTCCCTCGTCCCAGGTGATTCTAAGTTGTGTCAAGCCAATGATAAAAACTAACAAGCAGAGGCTCTGTAGCCAGATCCTGTTTCCAAAACAAAAAGAAAGGAAAAAGACATTTCACAGTGAATATATGAATACATCATCATTATGACTTACACATGAAAGTGGCATTTGCAGACACATTAGGCTGGATCCCATCTTTAACTCAGCCTAACACTATTTGTCTTTTAATTTGACAGTTCCTGCATTTACTCCATTTACATTTGATATAATTTCTGATTGAAGTTATGTTTAATATGCCATGTTGATATTTGAGATCCAGGATTTGTAGTATTGAGAACTAGAATTCTGCCACAGCTGTCTCAGAGCAACCAAATAATTCCACTGCTGTCTTACCAAATGATCTAATCTCTTCGTACACTGACATCCATCACTGGCTGACTTTTGCCTGTAAGTTTTGTAATAGTGCAAAAGAGCAGCAGAAACTAAGCTGCATTCAGGCACTACAGAAGGCCAGAAATAATGAGAATGAATACTGGGTGAACCTAGCTGTAGGATCTGTTATAATCAAGTAAAGAGAAAAAAAATGGCTTTCAATACGTACAGGCCTACCTCCTAAAAAAAGTCAAGTGGTTTCATAGCCTCCTCTTCTGACAGAGACAGAGACAGAGACAGAGAGAGATGGGGGAGAGAGAGAGAGAGAGAGAGAGGGAGAGAGAGAGAGAGAAGAGAGAGAAACAGAGAGAGAGAGAAACAGAGAAATGGAGAGAGATAGATTAGATACCTCAGTCAAGTGACCTATCCTGTCTAGGGCTCATCTAAAATTCACTGAAATTATATATTACACAGCTTGTGAGCCTATTGTGAGAGTAACACAATATAGTATAGTGCTGGCACACAGAAGTTGTTTCACAGCACTTCTGAAACAATTGAAAGGCAAAAATCATGGCAGCTCATATGGAGATTGACTGAAGTGACACATCACTGATCAGACTCTTTTCTTTCAGGAATCAACCTTGCTAGGCTAATAGCCAAAGGGAATGGTGAGTAGAAGCAAAGGCAGCCTGTTTCTCACTCAGATGAAAAGAAGATAATTTCCATTTGATGGGACTTTCCTACAGAGAAAAAGAAAAGGCAAGTAGAGAGATTATACATGAGTAACAACAGCCTTTCAGAGTCCTAAGAAAATTCAGTTAAGTTGGCCAGTTCTCTGAAATCCTGTTCCATGCTTACAAAAGACGAGGGGCTCTAGAGTTAGAGTATTATCATTGATTTTTTAATAGGGGTAAAATATATGCAAGAACATTCATCAATTTTAAGTGTACACTTCAATGCTATTTGACAAATAGCTACATTGGTAACGTAACAAGCATGACACCAGACATCTCCATTTCCCCAAAGTCCCATGTACCCTTTGAAGTCTTCCCTTTACAACTTGGTCTATACTTACCTACTTTCTCTGATATTAGTTTTGTATTTTCAAGAAAAAGCATCCATATGCATGATTATCGTAGCTGGCGTCTTTTACTTATTAGAGTATTTTACAACATTTAGAATTTTTTGTTCCCCTAGGAAAAGTTTTTAGATGTTCTTTGTCAAATCATCTTCCCCCCCTTTTTAAGGAGGAGAAAAAAAAACCCTAAAAATTAGATAGTACTTAGAAAATAGAAATAAACCTGAAATTTTAATGCCACTGATATATCTGTGTGTCTAGCTAGGTGCTGTACGTCTATCTCTGTCTTATGCACAGAATAATACTTTTTACACTTCGGTGACTTTTTTATCTCTTCAGAAGAACTGAGAATATCACCATTGAGAATATATATGATTTATATAGATTTACATATATTTTTGAGATTTATTATCATTGTATCATTTGGTTTAGTAATTGGTTTATAGTTTGGTAATAATCCATTGTATGAAGAGATGGTCAAGAAAGCATTAAGAATAAATGCAAATGTGTTATAATGGTCAGGTGCACAGTGAAATAATAAACTGTTTTTGCTCAGTTCCAGTCTATCTAGCATCAATAAACAGATTTCTTATTAGAAGTTTTCATAATTTTTTTTTAAAAAGTGGGGGCGGCTGGAGAGATATCTTAGCAGTTAAGAGCACTGGCTGCTCTTGCAGAGGGCCAGGATTCCATTCCCAGCACCCACATAGCTGCTAACAACCATCTATAACTCCAGTCTTAGGGGGATCTGACAGCCTCTTTTAACCACTACAGGCATTACATGACATGAGTGCACATATACACACACAGGCAATACACTCGTACACACAAAAATAAAAATAAATAAAATATTTTTAAAAGTTTTCATTATTATGCAATTGTTCGAGTCAGAAAGCTAGACTTGATCTTCTTTTCCCTCAGTCATGAGATGTGGGCACTGTAACCAGGACATTCTGGACATTTAAGGATATTCATGATCTTTATCTTAAATGAGATTAAAAACCATTGGAAGTATATAAACATGACATATGACATGACTTGTTCAGTGAAATGGAAACACATAGTATTTTTACTAGTAGCTAATGAATAAGGTTGTGGAGAATGGAATCAAGGGGAATGGGTACTTGGGAGAAGATCTTTAAGGAGTCCAGAGGAGAAATGACAGTGGGTCTTTTTTGAATTTTCAAGACAGTTAAAAAGATAGAGATTGGCAGTCTTGGGAGACATGCTGTGTTCTCAAGGGGAAGAACTTAGCCAGGGCATCACAGAGATGGTATTACCTATCATGAGAAATGTAAATACGCTGTCCTATGACTCCCTACTGCATTGACATCTCTGAGCTTCTGTCAAATTAATCAGTATTCCAAGTGATTATGAATACTCTTGGGCCATTTACAAATTACCAGAAGCTTTAGAGAATTAGAATCACTTCTAAAAGTGCTTGGCATCACCCCTTTGTTACTCAGCATTCCTGTCTTGTCTCTGGGTAGAATCCCCACGACTGGATTCTGGTGTCCTTAAGAGGAGGAAGGAAATCAGTAGAGACAGTCTCTCACAGGCATGCACACTCCCACTGCACTATCTCCACCCTGTAACTCTAACAGAAGGCCATTATCATGTGTGGCCCCTTGATCTTGGAATTTCAGAAATATGAGCCAAAATGAACCTTTCTATAAGTACTGTCTGTACTATTGTGTTATTAGAGAAAAAAGTGATTACTAAAGTGGCTTACAACAGTAAACCATTAAGTATAGAGAACACAAGCATGCAGTGATGTTATATTCATTCTTAAAGCATATAATGGTTATGTCATGAAGACGTACGTGCACTGGGGGAGCTGTGAACAAAGTTCTGGAAGTTTATCAGGTACACTGGTGTTTTTTCTCTTCTAGGCTATGTTTGAAGAATGACTGGACTTAATATCTCTGAGAATCATTATTGTGATCCCATACTGACGCCCCACTTAACCAGGCTCTACTTCATAGTGCTCATTGGAGGACTGGCAGGTGTTATCTCCATCCTGTTCCTGCTGGTGAAAATGAACTCCCGTTCTGTGACCACCATGGCTGTTATTAACTTGGTAGTGGTTCATGGATTGTTCCTACTGACGGTGCCTTTCCGCTTGACATACCTTATCAAGGGAACCTGGACATTTGGGTTATCCTTCTGCAAATTTGTGAGTGCCATGTTGCACATACACATGTATCTCACCTTCCTCTTCTACGTGGTGATCCTGGTCATCAGGTACCTCATCTTCTTCAAGCACAAGGACAAAGTGGAATTCTACAGAAAACTGCATGCTGTTGCTGCCAGTACTGCCATGTGGCTTTTGGTGATTGTCATTGTGGTACCCCTGGTGATTTCTCAGTATGGAAATAATGAGAAATACAGTGAACAACATTGCTTTAATTTCCACAAAGAACTTGTTCGTGATTATGTGCAAGTTATCAACTATACGATTGTCATCATCGTCATTACTACCGCGATGATTCTCTTGGCCTTCCAAGCCTTCATCACTTTGTCCATGGTGCGAAAGCTCCACCACTCTTTACTCTCCCACCAAGAGTTCTGGGCTCAGCTGAAAAACTTATTTTTTATAGGCATCATCCTTATTTGTTTTCTTCCCTACCAGTTCTTTAGGATTTACTACTTGTATGTTGTGGCACATTCCAAGGACTGTAACAACAAAGTTGCATTTTACAATGAAATCTTCCTGAGCGTAACAGCAATTAGCTGCTTCGATTTGCTACTCTTTGTTTTTGGAGGAAGTCATTGGGTTAAGCAAAAGGTTATTGAGCTATGGAATTGCCTTTTATGCTGTTAGCCAAGACTACAGTTTTCTTCTCTTTCTGTTGGGAATGAGAAAACCGGGCAAGGGCAGTAGGAATGATCTTATATTCATTGCTTGTTCAAATGGGAAGAAAAGGACTGTGATGCATCATAGAGCTTGTTCTAATCCTTAATTGATCCCAGAGGGGGTGAAGAATGTCTATACAAGGATGAGGAGTGGTGAATTCTCTGAAGCCGCATTATTTTCCATTGCAAAATGTCTGATTGGCCCATCTAGAAAACATGGGTCCGATGAGTGCTGGGGTTTTTCTGGAATATGCTGTCTTCCTGGGCTTGAGATTTTTTTTCCCTTAGACTTTGAACTAGGCTTAGTTGAAGAGTTATTTTCACTGTACTTCACCTTAGGTAGGCTAAACCTGGTCATAAAACAGCTTAGAAGAGACAAACTGCTTTGTTTATGAGACAAATTGTCCTATTCAACTTGTCTGACCAAAAAAACGAAAATTTTCTGTACTATCTTAACTTTGATGGGAACTTTTGCTCTAACGCACTTTTCTGGATTTGCCTTTTTTTTACTGAACTTTTGTAATTTCATACAACAGTGCTTAATCAAATTTAGACTCCCCTCCCCCATCCATGCTCCTTTCTGCTCCACCAGACCTCATGCATTCCATCATACATATTAAGTCCTATCCAGTCAAGCATTTGTACTTAGTTGTCCTTCAGTGTAAATTTGTCCACTGAAGTCTAGTCAGCCCATCTGGAGATCATATATAAGGCATACTCTCCCTCACCCAGTAGTAATCAGTCTCTAACAGTTCTCAGTCTAGGGCTGACCCACCACTCATTTCTCTCCTCCCTTCTGGGTCCTTGTTTAATTGAGTTGGCATGGGTCTTGTGCTTGATGCCACCATTTCCACAAGTTCACATGTACAAGCTTCCAGTGGCCTGAAAGACTGCTTTCCTGTGTTCATGAACCAGCCCTAGACCTTATGATCTTTCTAGACCCTCTTCCCCAATGGTCTCTCTGAGCTGTGGGTGGGTGAGGTTCAATATAGGAGTCCTATTCAAAGATATACACTCTGCAGTCTCTTATTCTTTAAAACTTGGCCAGTTGTGGCCTTCTGTATGCATTGTACCCTTATATAAGGAAGATTTACTGGTGAGAGGGGAAGGATGTATTAGTTTTCTTTCTACCCCTTGTATCACTATGCTCCATGAGCCTTAGGTATAAAGGTTCAACTGTAGATATGTCACCTAGTACTGGGCATCTTTCAGACATATATTCTCTGTGTCTGACCAGTTGTGCAATTCTGCAAGTAGCCTCCATCTAGTACAAAAAGAAGCTTCTTTGATGAGTGGTGTATGGTTTGCTTGTCTGCAAATATACAGATCAATATTTAGCCTATAGTAAGAAATTTCATTTGTCTAGAGATATGAAAGAGAGTTTTTCCTAGGATCTATATCTATGTCCTCTCCTGCCACGTGTATTTGATTGAGTTTACAGTATCGCCCATGAGTTCACTCCCAGTGAGAGGGCTTTAAGTCCAATTAGATAACTATTGATTTCCCCCCCAGATAACAGTGCCACTACTGCACCAATAGAGGCAGTTTGCCATGCCAGTCCTTATGGTCATTAGGCTTCAGGGCTGGGTTGGATCACTGTTTTTCTCCCTGGCAGTTTCATATTATTGTCTAGCATTACAATAGCTAAACTTGGGCAGAAGGCTTCCAGGTCAGTCCTGCTCCATTGCTCCAAGTCCTGTATTTGAAGTGTGGCCTGTTTTCAGCATTAGGGACTTATCTACTAGTTCTGGGAGGTAACCAAGAGGTTTGGCAATAGCCTGCATTATTTTGGGAATTTCCTGGACCACTCTTACCAACCACTCAACTGGAGGTTTCTTCTGTCTGGCACTGTGTTCCTTGCCAAGCAGCACCCAGGTACATCACATTCAATAACGTTTAAACACTCTATGTGCATTTCTCATGGGGTTTTGGGGCATCACATTTCCCTCAGGGTTTCCTAGTCCCCCGAGATTTATTCACATCTACTCTTTTCCTCCCATCCAGCATCCCTCCTCCCTCCCCAGTCCAAGCATCCCAGTTATCCCCAGCTTCCCCCCAATACCACTGGCCTCCCACCATCCTCCCCCTCCTGACTTCCCTCCCCCCAACACCATGACTCCTTGCATGTTCCTCCATCCTCTCCTCCAGGCCAAACACTCCCACTCTCCCCACCTCCCACCTGGTACATGGAAGTAAAGGAAAAGAAAGAACTTGAAAGAGGGGAATAGTAGGGAATAGATTTGTCTCTTTAAAGGTTGAGTTCAAGGACATGGGCATTCACAACTCAATGTAACCAACTGTATTTTTCCTCAAAAATAATTATAAGCTTACTTCACAAGCTTAAATAACAGTGAAATATAATTTAGAGCATGTTTCTGGCAGCATCCTGCTAAGCAGTGAAATGAGTTCCCAAGGAGAATTACAGTTCATTTTTCATTTTCTGTTTTTTGAGAGAATTTTAGATGTCTTGGGCCATATGTAATATAGTTTTTCTTTGGACATAAGAAGTTATACTGATAACTTCAAAGTTGCATTTCACTATTGAAGTTATATGTTTTTAAATAAATGAAAACTATATTCTTGAAAAAGAAGAACTTTTGAAAACTCAATGGAATAATAATTTAGAATATATGAGATTAGGTTGCACTAAGAAAGTTTTAGAAAAATAGATGAATAAATGTAATGGAAGGTAGTAAAATTGCAACCCTTTAAAATATTAAGTAATTTGGATATTCTTAACAAATTCTGAATGATGTTTTAATGTTGATTCATAACTTGTGACATGTGGCATATTAAAGTGTATTAAATTGTTTTTTTTCCAAGAACAGTTTATGATTAAATTCATGCACAGGCTTACAGTTTTGGTTTTTTATATTTTATTTATTTTTATTTTATGTGTATGGATGTATTGCCTGCATGTAAGTAAGTGCATCCATGTTATGCAATGCCCAGAGAGGTCAGAAGACGGCGTTGGATTCCCCTGGAACTGGAGTTACCAATGGTTGTTAGGTGCCATGTTGAGTGCTTGGAATTGAACCCGGGTCATTTACAAGAGCAGACGATGTTCTTAACTGCTGAGCCATCTGTCCAGCCCCACAGTTTCATTTTCATATTTGCTTTATATATTTACCTTTTCATCCTATTCATAATTCTATTTCCATCAAAGTTTCAGTCTCGAAATTTTTCAAAGAATCAACCTATGTTCATATTTAAGGCTTCAGAAAATCTGATGTAACGAATGGTAGGAAGAGAAAAACATGACTTAAGAGAACTGATCTTCAATCAAGGGACCTCCTTATGATTTAAAGGCCTTTCTTTAGTTGCTGTTATTCTGTGGATCCAATCTTCATCTGAGGAATAAGAGGTATCCTGTGAGCTTCTATCATTATTAAAACGGCAGAGTGGAAATCATTTCTAAAGAAGGAAACGGAGCAGCATACTGCAACACGACTTGTTTCCAACTTTTCTTCTTTTATAGTTTTTTGTCTGTCCTTTCTCCCCCTCTTTAAAAAATATTTCTTCCATTTGTTACTTTTTACCTTTTCTCATTTATTTTCTAAGTTTTTTCCCTTTCTCATCTTGACACATAAGGTTTATAAGAGCATTATTAAGACTGATGAAAGAAAATTTGTAACACCCACAACTTTGTAAGAAAATAAGGACACAGAATAAAAATTTTAAAGTTTTACTTGTGAGTTTTCCAAGGTCTGTTCTTATCATAATTTGAAAATAACATATCATAAATTTGTAGATTGGCTTATAATATCTTCATAATATCTTCCAGATTTTAGAATTGCTGATGAAAAGTAGTTATCTCTGTCTTCAAATTATAATGAAGGACTTATTTCTACAGACACATATAGAAATACTATCTAAGATTTAGAAAAGCAACATCATATAATTTTAAATGCCTTGTTTATCAGTTTTCACAGAGCAAATGAAAAATTGTCTAGTGGCCTGGTCTTCATCTCTAGTTGATGTGGAAGTGAATCTCACACAGGAATAGGAGTTGAGATTAGCCTCAAAGGCCACTTTTGGAAGTCATCATTATACAAACTATTGGTAGTATTTAGTGGTGAGGCAGGAGACTAGGCATTTTTGCCTTGTATGAAAAAAAATCAATCTAGTCTTGGTTTGTATTTGAATAACCTGTCAGATGTTTATGAAGTGAAACATGTATAGGTAATCATCAGAGCAATTAGTGAGGCTTTATTCAGTTTTCAAATGCACGTTATTTTTAGTTTAATACGAAGTTTTTTTTGAATTTTCTGAAACTTCAATTACTATAGATATTGAGGAAATATTTTTTTGATTCCCTTATTACTTTGCCAAGAGTGGTTTGTTGCTTTAGAAAGTCAAATGCAGTTGGGCATGGTGGAGTGTGCCTTCAATCAAAAACCCTCAGGAGGAATAGGCAGGTGGATTTCTGTGAGAACAGGGTCAGCCTGGTCCAAGTAGTGACTTCTAGGCAGGCTGAGACTAGGGAGCCCTTGAAAAAAAAAAAAAAACAGCAACAAAAAAACAGCAACAGCAACAAAACAATAACAACAAAAAGAAAAGTCAAATGCAAAATCATTTATGACATAATATATAACATATAATATGATATAATTTATAATTATGACATATAACATATGACATATAATAATTAAGACATATAACTACAACACAACATTCCTGTAAGTGATGACCTTAAACTGTTGTAGTCAGGAGGGTACTATCCAGAGATGCAGATGTCAGATTGCTTCTCTTTGTTCTTTGGAGAACATGCTTCAGTATACACTGAAATCTATACTACTTTGTTATATAATGTTATATGCTAACATAGGAAGGTTGGAAAAATCATTTTGGAATGGTAGAATTATCTTCAAACTCCATTTTAGTATGGGAAAATGTTATCTAATATCTGTGATAAAAAGCAAAGCTTTGTTCGGGTCTAAGAGAAACGTGAAGAGAATCAATTTAAAA